TATTGCATGCATTTATATGTATATAACCCAAGTTAGCGAGAATATTTCACATGTGAGTTATTAAGACTAATTAATTCTCTTACTTACTAGTATTTAAATGAAGAACAATTATAACATACATAAAAAATAAACTAGTAAAGTTTGATAAAATTAGATAAAGTTCGTCGTAAACAACAAATAAAGTTAACACAAATGTTGTTATTGTCAGATTTGTCCAACATATATATATATATAATTTTTTTTTTTTTTTTTTGACAAGAGCAAAGGAACTTTGTCCAACATATATATATAGGGTTAAAAATAGTTGAAACTGTAATTTATGAAGAAAAAGAATTTTTGATGTTAGGAATATCACCAAAGGGTAAAAGCTTCCGTTTCATAACAATAAGAAAAAACTATCAAATGTGAAAAATGGAAATACAAAGAGAAGAAAATAAGAAAATTACCTCGGCTATGTAATTATGCAAAGATCGATCACTATAGAGTTGAAGACTGTGTATTAGCTAGTGTGTTGCACGAGTTCTAGACTAAATACACATACTGCTATTTATAGACTTGAATACTTGATGGATGGAAGGGGTAATTATTATAATCATATGACCAAACATAATATAACGAGTGTCAAATTTTGATTGCTGTTCTCGGCCTATAACATACATCCCTTGATTCTTATATAACTCAAGGTATGATAGTACAGACACCAATTTTCATATGTGGTTGGGCACATGGTGTGACCATCTATCATAGCTAGGGGTTATTTCGTTAGTGTGATACGAGGCTATTTAGTTAGTGTTAAAGGAGTTACTTTGTTCGTGTTATAGGGGTTACTTGGAGGTTATTTGACCAATGTTATAAGGATTACTTTGTTTTTTTTTTATAAGTGGTCACACGGTGCGGCACACAAGACGAGTTGATGATAGTATATCACATATCTTAGCTTATTGTGGAGAATAGCTTTAATACAAAGTAAATAATTTAAGTTAATCCGTATGCATCTCTTTAGTATTTTAGTGGCCATACTATATATAATCAATCAAAGATGACTTTAAGACCTAATAACCTCTACTCTCTTAAGTTATAATAGAGTAATATAAATATCTACTTTGTATTTTTTTTAAATAAATTTAATTAGGTGTAGATAGAAACTCCGAAATACACAACAATATATAATATAGAATTAAGCTAAAAGTAAGGATCATAATCTCATTACCCTCATTAGATCATGTCTAACATGATCCCACTATTATTATGACTCCAAAAATACAAACTAATTACTTAGAAGAGCATATTTCTATTCATCGAGAGTGAACCAACCACTAACAATTTAAAGTAATATTCCAACACAAACTCGCTCCAATATACTATTCCGTATAGTATAATATAATATAATATAATATAATATAGCCATGTAGGGCATTGGCACCTAATACGTGAACGTGCTAATAATTTAATCAAGAATCAAAAAAGAAAATGGAAGCAAAGAATTGGTATCGAGTTCTTGCCTCCATTGGACTAATGGTACTTTATTATTGGAGCATCCGTAAATTTTCTAATAGAACCATTTTTTCATCCTCAAGTTTTTATTGAAGAGGATACTCCATAAATTCGAGCTAGTTGTCAATAATAATTTTAATATTATTCACAAATAGATTAGAGTTATGAGAGAATGTAAGGATTTGCTTGCAAAATATTTCGTAAATAAAATGTCTAGCTACATGCTTTTCATTGGAGAGCAAAAAATTGAACAACTTGACTGTAGCCCAAACAAACTACATATGTATAACTAATTTAATGTTTTGCAAACTACAAGATGTTATGGCTCAAATCACCGTTGGAATACTTTGTACCTAAAAATTATTGTAGCTTTAAAACTGATATGGCAAAGCTTATCATCATAGATGCTCTTAAACAATGCATATTCGAATGATTTTAATTTTACACTATTTAAATGTTAATATTTAACATGAACATCGATAAATTTACCACATTCAAAGATATTATATTGGTACGTCTTTGTAGCAATGCGCATCACATATGTTGAGCAAGTCTTATTTATTAAGAAGAGAAAAAAAAATCAAAGAGAAAGATAATAAGACATAAGAAAACTAGAAAAGAGGGCCTTTTTATTTAGTACTAGTAATTATAAGTTAGTTGTACGTGGAAATGAACCATGCGTATAAGCTAGCTAGCTTGCATGTCCTTACGTACCCGTACAACTGGTTGGTTAGTTCATATTGATCCCGTTATTATATTTGCATTGTTGATATTAGAAGACTAATTATGTTGATATTACATACAATTTGAAAAAATGAACCGATCATATTATAATTATCATCATTAGAATAATATGATAGTTATATTTCAAACAACCTCAGTAAAAACATCACATTCAAAGATATTATTTTGGTGCATGGTAGTAGCAACATGCATTACACAATATGTTAAGCCATGAGCAAGTCTTTTTTACTTAAGAGGAAAACAAATCATAGAGAAAGATCATATATATATAAGAAAAGAGGGCATTTTTTTATTTAACACTAGTTAGTTGTACATGGAAATAAACATGCAGATATAAGCTAGCTAGCTTGCATGTCCTTAAATTACGTATACTCGTACAACAGTTAGGTTCGTTCATAATGCCCTTAGCTTAAAGAAAAACAACCACAAATTATAAAAGAACTAACCAGACCAGAAGATTATATATCAATCTAATGGATCGGACTTAGTACATTATTATTATTGTTATTATTATTATTATTGTTGTTGTCGTTGATGATCATCGTATGGAGTTTGTTTAACCAGTGTAGGCGACGGCAACTGCAGATCCAGCTGAGTGACCAACAATGGTAGCATACATTGAGGTTCCAGTCCCCGAGTCATTAGCATAAGCGATAAAACCGGATTCATTCAATTTAGCTTCAATCTGATTCCAGTTGATGTTGTTGAACTTGCTTATAGGGCCACAGTCCGCATAAGCCTAATCCCAATTTAATTTATTGCAAGGAAGCATCAAACGAATTGAAAGAATATGAGATCCAGTTAGAGGACCGGCCATACAATCATGTACTATTATGTATATACTACCTCTGTTAAATGTTATGTGTAACTTTGGGGTATTATTTATGAGATATAAAATATTACAAAGTTACACATAACATTTAACATTTAACAGAGGTACGTAGTATAAGCAAGATTAAAAATACAGATTGAAATGTACATACTGACCTTCCTTCCATCAGTGTCAGACCAAGCAAGAAGCCAGCCACATTCAAGACCAGCGCTGTTCTTGCCAACATAAACCACCGCGGCCTTAACACCCCCGAACAAGGCTGCTTGAGCAAAGGAACCCAAGCTTTCAAGAGGATCTGAGTAGTCTGAAACGGTATACCCCTTCCATTGCTTGGAGTTAAACACGGTCAAGGATCCCTTAGAAGTCTGATTTGTCAAGGCACCGGCTACTGCAGATAGTCGTGCTGCATCAGCGTCAGCCTTGTTTAGGCATTCCTTTTCAGCAACGATTGCACGGGACTTTTTCGCGATATCCTCCGAAACAAGTGATTTCTCAGCGCATTTGATCAACTCGTCTAAAGTTGCTTTCTGCTCACAGCTCAATTGCACTGCTACTTTCTCCTTCCTCTCACACTGAATTGATGCCATTTTTTTGTACCTTCAATTTACGTCGTACCAGTTAAGCATTATTGCAAAATAATGAGTATATTTTTAGCAAAATAAGTTAATTTCGATCCAATATTAATTAATAAATAAAGATTAGCGCAAACAAATGATTCTAACAAATTTAAAATCATCAAAATGATTTTTTTTCAACTGATATAAATTAATTTCAATAACAATAAGTACAAAAGGTCAATATAACATAATATATAAAACTAGTTGTTTGCGCCGTTAAATAACAATAATTGTTTTTCATGGAATCGTGTTAAGGTGTTAGTACTGTAAATTGTCAAATTCTCATCCAACATAGGGTCAAAACATTGCAATCAATAAATCTAATTTATATATGAAGAGAAAAATTCCCTAGTTTGTGAATATTATTGTACAAAATGGTGCCTATATTATGGGAAAGTTGGGGAGTATGGAATAAGTACAGAGTCTCATGCATGTTTACGTAACAAAAGCTAAAATGAAGAAAATGGAATATAAAGAGAAGAAAATATGGAAATTACCTTTGCTATGTATAGATCGATCACTATTCACTATAGAAGATTGTGTATTAGCTACTGTGATGCACGAGTATTAAACTACATACACATATTGGTATTTATAGACTTGATGGATGGAAGGGAATATTAATGAAATCATCAAACCGAACGTATAAAAGACACGTGTCAGTTTTTTAGTGATGCTCTCAGCCTGTAAGTAGTTCATTATTCTTATCTATTTCAACTTTCAAGATATGTTCATATATGACCTATCTCTGCTTATAGTGGAGAATATCTTTACTATCTCCACGAGTATGGTAAGTGTCCATATTTTAATTCATGTAAGATACCCTCATACCCTTAAGACCCTACTATACTCCCTCTACAAGTCTACATGATTATTAAAGAAAATGTATATATTAATTTTCACATTATTTATTGCATATGTCACTACGCCAAAAATTGGTTTTAATGGCGGTTAAAATACCCTTTAACAGCGGTTACCCAACCGCCATTCATCTAAACGCTGTTAAAAGGATATGACACTTTTAATGGCGGTTGTATAACCGCTATAAAACATTAATCAGAAAAAGTGGAAAAAGTTTTCTATAATGGCGTACTTTTGTAACCGCCATTAAATTATGCCTTTTGCGCCAAAATTCAAATTTCATTACAACCGCTGTTAAAAGGTTCAAACACCAAAATTATAATAAATATGCTTTGATAAATAGTATTATTTTTGTAACCGCTATTATAAGTTTGCAACTATTTTAAAAAAAAATTGAATTACTAAATAATTCAATAATAATATAGCAAAACCTGTAATAATAATAATAATAATTTACAAAAAAGAAAAATGTTCCTTTACAAAATCATCACCTCTACAAAATGTTCCTTTACAAAAAAATATTTTCCCAACACAATTATTCATCACCTTTACAAAATGTTCCTTTACAAAAAATATTTTCCCAAGATGTATAGTACTTTTTTGCATCGAAACTCAAACTTTGGGAAAATAAGAGTGATTTACTTATAACAACTCTTTTAGACTAGATATGTTGAAACACGTAACGCACCCACTCAAGTCTAACATCATCAAGTTGAGTTTCATCGTAATGGGAAAACTGGCATCCTGCAAAATACTGCATAAAAAAACAATTTGCTTAGGATAATATCAACATCAATAACAAATCCATGATAATTCAAAGTATAACCCAAACCGAAATCAAACCATTATCTTATCTCAAACACAACACTAAGCTACAACAGCAACACACTATGCAGCACATACACTATGCAGCAGCAAACAACAACAACACAGCAACACCCAGCAGAACAAAACACCAAACACTTGCAACACACCAGAAGCAACCAAGCAACAACACCAACAGCGAGCAGCAGCTAGCAAACAACAAGCTAGCAAACAACAACAGCATAGGACAATGAACAATAGCTCATGGTAGTAAAACTTGGAAGAATATGGCAGTAAAACCACACAATTGACACAAATACAAACTTACACTTTCGGGAATCTTGGTGCGTTTGTGTGAGATAATCTCTTTCATATATCGCATCACATAATAGCCACAATCAACTCCGTTGCTCTGGCAAGGACACTACATTTTTGATAACAAACTCAAGTAAGAACTCATACATATCAAAACCAACAAAAAAAAAATAAAGTGTACAACCAGAAAATGTGCTAATTAAATTACAAATCAAACGGTTGTATCATTTTGTCTTACATTTAATCATTAAATATTTAAGCTCATTTTCTTTCATTTTGTATCTTACACCATTTTCCAATTTCAACCGTAATAACCAACAGAAATGGCAAAATTACCTTACTGTGTGTTACAGGTTACAGCCCATACACAAAATATACAAAGAAATGTGACTTGTAAAATAACCTTTATCTTGTTTAGGCAAAACTCAAAAGAAGAGCGCACACACAACATATCCTAACTTACCCTTTTGCATATGTGCCAAATCAATCAAAAGAAAAATAAAAAGATGAAATAATCCTGAAAAGTTGCTCATGAAAAAATCACCACCTTCAAATGTCTAATGTACATTGCACTGTATGTAGTACAGTTGTATCGCAACAATTTTACTAGTCCAAAATTCAATTTCAAAAACTTCATTCTATTTTCTTTTTCTTCCTTCTTTAATTTCAAAGACATTTAATCTCATTTTCTTTCATTTTGTATCTTTCTTTATTTTCCAATTTCAATCACAAATTCAAGTCCTCAACAACAAATCAACAATCACAAAATCACAAATCACAAATCACAAATCACAAATTTCCAATTACAATCACAAATTCACAATTACATTTACAAAATACAACTTTACAAACTAAAATACAATCAAATATTCAACAAATACAAAAGAAAACTAACCTCTGATTAAACTAAACTAAGTCAGCTGTCGTCGGTGACTCGGTGCTGTTCGCCGCGGCCAAGGGTCGCCTTACTCGCCTTGTCCAATCGTCCTCGCAGACCAGAGCGGAGTCCACAGACTCGCCTCGTCCAGTCTTACTTGCCAAAGGTGCTCCTGTCTTTGTTGGGCTGTTTAGAATCTACAACAAAAATCATGAAACACTTGGGTTTTAGGAAAAATCATGAATCGGAAGATTTGGGTTTGAGGCTATTAGAACTACAATTTCAGAATATATTCAACAAGCTAATTCAAAAATAAATAAAAAAAACAGATATTCGAAACGCATTCAACCAAAAAAATAGAAATTCAACAAAGTAAAAATACATATCAAATTACATTCAACAAAAAAAAGTACATCCAACAACAAATTCAACAAATTAACCAAATTAACCAAACCCTCGCAAACGAAAATAGAAACGTCAACCACATCAAAACTCCTCTTCAAACCTTACCTCACTCGAATTCCTCTTACCCTAATCCGAAATCATCCACCAAAAAATGATAAGAAGTGAAATTCAAAAAAAATTACAGAAAATCGATAATAAGAAGTAAGAATTTCGAACCTGCAGATTGGAGTCTTAGAGTTGCGAAGATGGCGACGAAGATGGCGAAGAAAGGGAGTAATGGAGGAGAGGAGAGAGAAACAGAGAAAGGGAGGTCGCCGGACCGGTAGTGACGTCACCGGAGGTAGTGAGGTTGCCGGATGAGGGATTCTGGTTTGAGAGGGTTTTCAGTTTGAGTTTTTTGCGAGGGTTTGAGAGGGTTGGTAGTTTTGAGTTTTTTTGCAAGGGTTTGAGTTTTTGCGAGGGTTTTGAGTTTTTGCGGGTTGTAGGCTTTAATTTCAGGCGCCTTTTTTCTTTACTTTTGATAGCGGTTCTATTATAACCGCTTTAAAAACTTCCTTAAAACCCAAAAACGCCATTAGAAGTTAATGGAGGTACTTTTTAGAGCGATTTTAGTTGAACCGCTATTAATCATGTGCTGTTATATAATGTTTTTGGCGTAGTGTGTATGTTGTATAACCTTGAATAATTGAGTTAATTTTGAAATAATATGAAGTATTATTTTTGTTTGAAATAGTTATACTATTTTGACTTTTGTCACTATACACTTGTCTAACTTTGACCATAGTTTTATATCAATATATAAAAGCGAAAATTAATATGTAAAATGTTATTGGTTTGTCTCAATTTTTATTTTTATTTTTTGACAAGAGTTTTGTCTCAATTTATATATACAATGTATCAGATTAATAATTAATTATTAGAAATATAAAGAAATCTATGGTCAAAGCCATATATTAACAAATGTATGTAAAAGTTATTATGGCGCTGTAATTATTTCAAAATGGTGAAAGTACACATAAAGCCAGAACGATACTAGTCAATTAGTCATACTACCAATTAATGGAGAAGGAGGTTTGGCTCGGTTGGCAAGTCTCTCGAATTCCAGGTGAGAGAATAGGGTTCAATTCTCATCAAACTCATCTTGGGAGGATTTACCTTATTCCCCCCCTCTCAAGATGAGTACCATTAGACGACCCAAAGATGAAAGATATTTGGGTCTTTAGTTTCAAAGCCCTTCGAACATTGTAACAACTAGTGCCTAAATTACATTAATTCCTTTAACCAAAAAAATAAAAATGAAAAAAAAAACCGTAAAAAATAAAAAAGAAAAGAGTAATATGGAGTAAAATGATAATGTAATCCAATATGTCACTCCAAATTTCATAATGCAACTACTGTCTACTAGCATATGGAATTGGCATCTTATCCGTTAACATGCTAATAATTTAAACAAGAATCCAATTCAAATTCCAAAATTGAATACAAAATTGTGAAAAAAGAAATTAGAAGCAAAAAAATGGTATCGAATTCTTGCCTCCTACTTTTTTATAAGGTGCTTCTATGAATGATTATTTTATTTATTTATTTTTCCTGTAAATATATCTAATCGAACAAAGATTCTCAAGTTGTTTTTTATTTTTTCACTTTCAACATTGAAGAAGACGATACTACATATATACATCGTTTGAGTCTTTGATTAAAGCTACATCCTCCTCCATTCATTAGGTAAATCATTATTAGTTGTAATATTTGAACTTTACACTAGCTATACATTCACGTTTTTCTATTTGATTACCTAGCTTTGTCTTTTTACATATGTGTTAAGAAAAAATATTACTCATGTGAGATTTTTGTTTATATCTTTTTAGTTATAATGTCTCATTTTTATATATACTTACCTGTCTTTGATTGGAGATATAAAGATTTTAATTAAAAAATATATATTTACAAGTGTGAAAATCAAAATGTTATCATAACTAAAAGTTTTCAATCGAGTATTAGTTACCCAATTAACCTTCTTCTAATTATATTGCAACATCGTCTCTTCTTTTGATCGCTATTGCCTGTTATCTATCCCTAATTGTTTGCCCCATTAACATTGCATTTCGAATTCAAATTTTAATTTTTCTACCAAAAACTATCACTAGCTGCTAATCTAAAAGAAATAATATGACATTGCATGTGTAATCTTACTAGATTTGTTTCAATGTCTATTTTCATAGTCGTATCATATTTTTATAATTTTTGCATCAGTAAATTTAGAGGTATTTGATCATGTCTTAAAATTCATCTTGCAATCTTGGATACCATTAAAATTCGAATGAAGCAAACAAATCAGGAGAAAAAGGGTAATATGCAATAAATTTGTGAGATGATACTTCAGTGATCAAGCAATTCGATCTTAGGCCCTTACCCTCCACCTTTGCCACTCTCAATGGCACGGCCTAAAGAGAAGTAATTAAGAAAAAATGAACTTATCTATATCTTTGTGTTATGCTCAAATAGGAGAAGTGTTTTTACCCTACTAGAGCAGCATACTACTATACGGCTATACCTACCATCTTGATTCTTGAATGTATGAATAATTGAATAACTTGTACCTTTAGGAGAGGATTATACAAAACTAGTGCAAAAAATACGTACTAATAATTTTCATCATAGCTAAGTTTTCTGCCGGGGAATACTAGGCCACTTTTATGCCACTAAACCTAATATATTTTAATTTTCACAAACTCGTAAATTAATTAAAGAGTCAAAAGAGATAACTAACATATGATTCATATGAGCATTAAAGAGACATTTTTTTTATTATTAGTACAGACGTATATAGTACAAGCGTCTAGCATACAGCCATATATGCATTTTATTATAGACGTTACATATATAATATTCTTAGTACGTAGTTGCTAGCTACGTTACTTGCAATACATAAGTATAAATCTCATCCATCTTATAATCGATTTGTCTGCCCTAGCTATATGATCATACAGATGCTTGGTATACCTAGCTTAGGGCGGACCGCCTTATTCCATCTAACTGAAATCTGCATAAACTACGTTTGCATAGATTTCGGCCTTCACCGAAGTTCGAGTATAAGCGTCAATGTAGGAGCACGACGAGGTGGAAGCGTCGAGGTCCTTTTCAACCTTATCCCAGTCTATGTTTTGGAATTTCTCCAGAAGGCCACAATATCCATAAGCCTGCATAATAACAATTATAATGTATAAATCATTTTAAGGATAACTATTGTATATAACATTTTCATATTTAATTAGATATAAAAAAAAATAAAAGTAGTCAACTTTGTTGTTAGATTGAGCAGGTATTACAAACTTACAATTCTTACAAAGGATTATAAGACAAAATCATTATCATTATCTATTACTAATTACGATAGTTATTAAGAGCTCGTTCTCATTTACAAAACAGAAGTGAACTGAACTGAATATTTTATGAATGAAGGAAATTAGGAACTAGACTGAATTGAACTGAAAATAAGCTGAAGAGAATAGACCCTAATTTAATCACCAGTGGCGTCATATATAAGTACGTACCTTTCTAGTGTGACTTCCCTCATTGAAGGAATCAGACCAAGCCAAAAGATAACCATAGTGATTAAATGGATCATCACTAGTTTTGAGGGAATACACGACAGCAGCCTTGATTCCCTTCTCCTTTTGTTCAAATTGCGTAAAACCGGTTGATTCTTCTAATGTTGAATCATATTTATGATAGAATTTGCCAGACCATGTCTTCGCAGTGAAAAGGTGCATGGTTTTTGATTTATGCAATTCTATTCTATATATGCATGAAGTAAATGAAACTACAGTTTTAAACTTCGTATGATTATAATAGCAGTGATAAAACTTGGATTATTGTTACAATAAAAGAACAAAAGAAACACTCGGCATTAGTTTTTTTTTTTGTTAATTAATTGATGATCACGTGACAAATATTAGTATTTTTGTATATAAATAAAAGGTTCTTACTCCATTATGTCAATACACACTAACACACCACTTCTCACAAATGCTACTCGTATATGGCATCAACATCTTATCTATATACACGATTCCAGAATCCACCTCAATTAAATGCGATTGGATACAAAGATAAAAATTAAAAATAAAACAAGACAAAACAAAAAGAATCAGTATCCAGTTCTTATCCCATTGATGATAATTTGTTATGCAATTTTACTTGTGTAAAGCTTTGTATTAAGTACTAACTAAACTGTGTATTGGTATTAAACTTTAATTGTACATTAGTACGTTGTACGTATATTTGTATTTGGTAACAAAATAAGATGAGGTTAGCGTGCGTTTACCAGTTTGCCCTTGATAACTTTTGTGAACTTATCATATCATAGACTCAGAGTTAGAATTGGGCGGCCCACTGGGCTTTCTTTGCAAGATTTATTGGGCTGATGATAGCGGATTACATCGTCATGTATGCTTACCGTTGGCATTTGGCAATCTGGCATAGTGACATAAGATGGGCTGATCTCATCTTCTCTAAAAGTAATGCATGCTTTAACTATTGTATTTTAAGTTTGTTTGTAAGTTATTTCTTCATTAATAGAACAAGCTAAGTTGAATAAATGAAATTTTTTTGTTATTGTTTTGTTTTGTTTTGCTTCGTTTTGTTCTCTCTGTTTGTGAGAGTCTGTCTCGTTTTTTTGGGGGTTTTTCCCACTTTTATGAGAGTTTGATTCTCATCTATGGATGAGAATTTTATTTTTAAGGTATTATTAAAAAAAAAATAACTTACTTAAATGTCTAAACCTGCGAAATTTATTTTAGATTATTGTCTAAAGTTATGTCTTTAGCGCTTATTTTAATATAATTTATTTCGTCTAATACTTCGTATAACTTAAAATACATTAAACAGAACAAGGCCTAGTTATAGGTTCAACTCATTAACCTATTATTAGGCCTTGTTTAATTCGCCTTATTTCTACTTATTTCAGAAAAAATAAGTTCAGATCAGAACATGTTTTATGTGCGATTTTTTATCGCTAAATATCTTTAATTTCTTATTGAAAAAAATTGTGAAAATTACATATTAATAAACATTATTACGAATATAACAAGAAAGATCCCACTTGATATATTTTTTCCTTAAAGATTATCGTACACTTAAGGTCAAAGTTTGGTCATATCAGACAATCAGATCAGATCAGACCAGACTAAATCAAATCAGCAAAAATAAGGTGAACCAAACAAGGTCTTAGTATTTCCTTTGCTCTTTATAAATAAATAGAATATGCATTAGGCATATTCTTACAATAATAGATGATTACAATAATAGATGCATTAGACATATCTAATAAGTATATAATTTAAGAGTCATTTTAACAACTTCTCACCACATCACTCCAAAACTCAATCCCTCAATTCTCATTCAATCCACCCCTTTTTTTTCCTTTTTTTTTTGGAAAAAAAGTGAAAGGGGAGATGAGAATCCAAATAGGAATGAGAAATGAGAGGAAAATAGGGAGGTAAGGTAAAGAATGGACCCAAAATGACGTCGTATGGTAGTTGGGAGGCAAGAAGGTGGTAACTTTTGATGTTTTTGAAAATAGAAGGTGGTAATTTTCAAAAAAAAAATAAAAATAGAAGGTGGTAATTGCTAAAATAGACATAATAGAAGGTGGTAATTGTCAAAATTTACTTTTTTTTTTTAATTTTTTAATTGAGAGTGTGTTCTTCTCTATGCAGATTGCAAAGTCTATTAACCGGCTCTCTATTAATATAAGGCACCCATTGCGTGGTTTCAGAAAAAGAAATAATAATAATATTGCGAAGTCTATCAACTCATGGCGAATCTCATGATCTACTTAAAATATAATCAAACTCAATCGAATTTTTTTAATTAGGAATAAATGATAATTTACCAACTTATGCGTACATAATTGTAATTGTTATATACGTAATTATGTTGTTTGATGAATTAATAAATCACACAAAGATGGTAATGACTATTGAGTAATTTACCCGGAAAAAAAAAAGGGGTGATCTTTATTTTAAAAGAAAAAAAGAACAACCAAATTCATAAAACAAATTCGTTATCTTTGCAGCCTATCATCAACTGTTCGTCAAATTTTTTCCTAAAAAAACAAAAAATTGTTCGTCAAATCATTATGCATCATTAATTATAGGAAATTTTGTGAGGAAAATCTTTTTATGTAGACATTTTTGTGACAAAGGCCCTTTTATAAAAAAAAAAAGGTGACACAAAAGGTCCTTATGTCATGTTTAGGTTATGAGGAGGGTCCTTTGACCATTTTCCGACGTTGACTTTTTTATTTTCCGGCCAAAAACAAGTGAAAAGATTGTGCAACAAACCAAGAGCTCCGCCCAGACAAACCAGAAGACCAAACCACATTCAAATTGTTCTTTAATACTACGTAATATTTATCTCTAGCTCAAATCGTATAGTGAATTTTATGATCTCTCAGTAATTTTTACTCCTCATCAAGTTGCAGTACATAGTATAATAGGGTCTTTAATTTAATAAAGAGTTAAAGTCAATGATAGAGCTGAGGAAATTAATCAAAACCCCATTTAGTTGTGATTATTACATGGAAATAATGGCTTGTCACTTGGACTACATGCGCAATAATAAATTAAACCTGATGAACTGTCGCCAAATTTGTAAAGTAAAAAGAACATACTTCGTGTGCTAAAAGAGGCACATTACTTAATATGTTTATTTACTTAAGTACTCTGTAGTACAGTACAAGCAACTAGAAGACTAGAACATCATGCATCATATCAGATGTATGTTATTATATATGTTACATAACATTCTTAATAATTACTACCTAGCTAATTAATAATACTCCGTAACTAGTAAGTAGCTAATACATAAGTATATAAAAGATCTTATTCTTAACCATCTTATAGTAATCTGACCTTATTTTTAAAATTATAATACTCATATCATAGGGGATGCCCCTCATATCATAGGAGGGGTGGGGTGAGGATCGGACTCAGGTCACTATCGGGAGAGATGGATAATATTGTAAGTATGTAGTTTACAAGATAGACCCTCCGTTTTTAAATACTTACTCCACTTTTCTTTTCTGGCCGTTTTTAAATACTTGTTCTATTTCCTTATTTGAAAAGTTTTTACAATATTAAACTAATTTCAATTCTCTCAGTTAATGGACCCACCACATATTTTCTCCCCTCCAATCCTCTCCACTATTACTTTTTACAATTTTTTATTCTTCCACTTACCCCACTAACTTCATATATATATATATTTTCTCCCATTTCTTCTAAAACTCCTCGCATGGAGAAATTGAGCAAGTATTTAAAAATGGAGGGAGTAATATTTTTAAAATTGAACTATGAAATGAAGGCACAATATATAAGGGGGAAAAAAAGTTTATCTAGTAGCATTTTGGTAAATAAATCAGTAACTTGTTACTTATTTGGGCTCACAAATGATGATCAATTTATTTACGAAAATGTCATTTTGACTGAGTGCAGGCATTAAATATATACTAGCCTGTACTTCGTATATAATTACATAGGAGTACCTTTGATTGCACCCAAAAAAAACATAGGAGTACCTTTGAAGTGCGTCTTTCTTCATTGACGTAGAAGTGAGACCATGCCAAGAGAAAAGCATAGTGATTAGATTGATCTTCACTAGTTTTGATAGAATACACTACAGCAGACTTGATTATTCCCTTGTCCTTTTTTACGCTTTGTGTAAAACCGGTTGATTCTGCAAATATTTCAGAATATTTATGATAAAAATCCCCAGACCATATCTTCTCAGCGTGGAGGTGCATGGGTGTGTGGGTACTCTTGTTGTAAAACCAACCTCCAAAGATCAAATCATCATGGGACTTCGCTTCTTCGGCTTGCTTCATTAGCTCATTCATGGCCGATTCTTCCTTGTGCACATTACCCTCATCAGCCATTTCTATCCTGATAGGTAGGAGTTTGTGTACATGTGAGTTATCCCACATTAAATAATAAACATCATTATATTATATTCCGTAATTTATTTTATTTTACAATAATAGCGGAACTTAGGAGAAAATAACGTTTGGAACCATTTTTAATAATACTTCTACTAAATATTTCAAGAAAGTAACAAATGCATACATTAAAACATAAGAAACTTAATTTTGAGACAATAAATAAATAAATAAATAAATTTAGGATTACCTTAATTTCTTGATGAAGAGAAGCTAATAGAGAACTTGACTTGGTGAAAATGGCACAGATAAGATTCTAGACAAGCAACCAATTCATTCCCTATTTATAATGTAGCTTAGCTTAGATGTGGCAATAATAATACGGAGTAATATAAATAATGTGCCCTTGTTTAAGTATTCGGTTATCTCTTTTTTTTTATTTTTTTTTAAAACATAAGTATTCTGTTATCTTGAAGGACCTAATTACGATAAAATATTTCCTCTATTTTTATTACTATTCTGTTTCACATTATTTGTAATATTAAACATTTTTTCTCTCTAACATAATGCAGCAAAGCTTCAATTCCCAAAGCTACGAGAAGCTGGTGTCGGCCTACAAGGCATACATTAGTCCGATCCACAACTGCGTACATGGTTTCACAAGTACCAAGGCATACATTAGTCCGATCCACAACATCTCCATTATATTTCTCAGAAGACATGCATCCAAATGAAGCTACCTACGTGTCTTGCGAGTTGCTGACTGATCAATTCATTTGAAACAAAGGTAGTATATGTATAAACATGTCTTGCGAGTTGCTAAGTATTTGGTACTCGTACCAAATTAAGTCTTACTTGATGCTCCGTATTAAATTACTACCTTCGTTACAAGTTATATATAACGATTACACATTTTTTCTCTCTGCTTTATGTCAAATCGTTATACATAACCTGTAACGGATAAAAATCTATTAGTACTGACAAAGTAGTATGTTGTTACTGAGGATTTGTCCTCTTCAGATTAATTTCAATCCAGTTCAGCTCCAATCAGTTCAATTCAGTTCAGTTCCTAATTTCCTTATTTCATAAACAATTATTTTAGTTTTATTCAATTTAATTTAGTTCAGCTTCAATTAGTTCCGTTCTCTTCAGCTCAGCTCAATTTAGTAAATTAGAATAGACCCTAAATTGTAAAGCTTACATAGTACTCTAAATTAGTGCGACTGTGTGAGGTAAGTGTGCGTTTACCAATTTGCCACGTTGTAAACTATATCATGGTTAGAATCGGAAGCCCTTTAGGTTACTTTGCAAGATAAGGCCGGACAGGTCATATATATGAAGCGTTAATGAATTGGGCTGATTTCATCGTTCTAAGCTCTATCGTTGGAATTAGTGCAATTAGTATTATGTGCACCATGGTGCACCTAGAAATAGGTGCACCTTGCCCAATCCACACCCAACATAAGAAGCCCAAACGAAAGAAGCCCACAAAGTATTTTTTATTTATTTATTTTTATTTTTTTTAATAATAGTTTCTCCTCTCTCCAACTGTCAAATCTATTTAAGTTCAAAAAAAAATTGTCATATCTATTTTTATTTCATTTTAAAAATTATCTCTCTCCTCTCATAAATTAAAAATCTTCCTCAATGAATTCTTTTGTATTTTCTCTCTCCTCTCACCATTTTCCCCTCTCTAAAAACTGCAATCTACCATGACAAAAGACAAAAAATACGAAAACACCTTCAAAAAAATAAACAATACTTAACTTTTTTGATTTTCCTATATTTATGTTAATTAATTTGCTAATATAATTCAACAAATTGTAAAATTGAAACTATATTCTATTATATAATTATCTTTTTGCTTTTTTTAAATTAATTTTTTTTTGGTTGAAAATCAAAATTATCTGCTCCTACCGAAGAGGATAAAGATGTGTAAGTAATTTATTATTTAAGTTCGCAATTTGTTTTTAAATTTTACAATTAGTCAAATGTTCAACATCAGAACACCAAAAAAAAAATCGATGATGTATTTAAGAAAAAACCAATTGTTAAAAACTTCTGAACCCCAATTACAAACCATTGAACACCCTACAAAGCCTCTGAACCCCTACAAAACTTTTGAACCCCAACCACAAACCACTGAACACCCTTCAAAAACTCCTGAACCCCTACAAAAACCTCTGAACCCAAACCATAAACTGCTGAACACCCTACAAAAACCTCTCAACCCCCTCAAAAACTTCAAAACCATAACCACAAACCACTAAACACCCTACAAAAACCTCTGAACCCCCTACAAAAACTTTTGAACTCCAACCATAAAACACTGAATACCCTTCAAAAACCTCTGAACTCCCTACAAAAACTTCTGAACCCCAATCACAAACCACTGAACACCCTTCAAAAACCTCTGAACCCCCAAAAACTCATGAACCCCACCATAAACCACTGAACACCATACAAAAATCACTAAACTCCCTACAAAACTTCTGAACACCAACCACAAACCACTGAACACCCTTCAAAAACTTCTAATCTGAACCCTTACAAAACATTTGAACTCCAATCATAAACCACTTAACACCCTTCAAAAACCTCTGAACCCCCTACAAAAACTTCTGAACCACAATCACAAACCACTGAACACCCTTCAAAAACCTCTGAACCCCCAAAAACTTCTGAACCCCAACCACAAACCACTAAACACCGTACAAAAATATCTGACCCCCCTACAAAACTTCTAAACACCAACCACAAACCACTGAACACCCTTTAAAAACTTCTGAACCCTTACAAAAACCTTTGAACCCTAATCATAAACCAGTGAACACCCTACAAAAACTTAAACTTATGAACCCTAACCACAAACCACTGAATACCTTAGATGAACCTATAAACCCCCTACAAAAACTTCTGAACCCCAACCACAAACTACTGAACACCCTTTAAAAACTTCTACACTTGAAGACACTGCTCAGAATGCCAAATGTTCAGATTTATAAGTTATAAAGTAGAGAATGCCAAATATTTTAATAAAATTAAAAATACATAGATTTAAAACAAAAATAAGTTCATAAGTAATTTATCGTATGTTCAAAATTATAATAAGATGTTCGAAATTCCAAAAATTACATGTGATGTGTTTACATAAAACGTATCATACGTTCACATTTTTAACTTAAAATGTTCAAAATACTAAAGTATAATCAAATACAAAACTGTTCATAACAAAATGCACAATTATCACTAAAAAATCAAAAGAATATAAAAGCTACATATTTCGAAACTCAAACCTAGCCATGGTGATTTAGATAATGAAATCTCATGAAAAATAATCTCAACATCGTCTTAATCACCTTCTATTTGACGACGACACCATTTTTAGCTTCACATCATTGTAAAACTCCATTAACAAAGCTTCAAATCGAAGGTTGAAGAAAACAAAATTTGAATTTAATCTATTGTAATGAAGAAATTCACTCTATGGTGATTAACAATATGAAAGAATTCAATTAAAAGGATGATGAACGAATTCAATAGATTGAAAAATAAAAAGAGAGAAAATAGAGGAGAGAGAAAATAAAAGAGAGAAAAATTAGAAAGTAGAGGAGGAAAGAGAATTAAGATAATATTTTAATTGGTGGTTTACATAGAACTATATGCACCATCACTAGTAGAAAAAAGGCATTAGGCAGCGGTTCAAACCCGGTCTAAGGCACCGGTTTGAACCGCTGCCTATTTGAGAGGTGCCAAAAACCTGCTATTTGGCATCGGTTCAAAATCGGTGCCATAGGGTTTAATAGGCACCGGTTAACCGGTGCCATATGGTAAAATAGGCACCGGTTAACCGGTGCCATATGGTAAAATAGGCACCGGTTAACCGGTGCCTAAAACTGCTCTCCCGCCATTTTTTTTTGGGTGGTGTATAGTTTAGGCACCGGTTCCTGCCTAACCAGTGCCTTTTGTATAATTTTTTTTCTTTTTTTTTTTCAATCGTGCAATAATATTTTTAAAAAAAAAACCTGCAATAATAATAACCTGTAATTCCAGCAATTATATTAAATATAATAATTAATAATTTTATTATTATAATAACTAATAATAATATTATTAATTATTATATACAAAAATAATATTAGATACAAGAATTCAATTATATATATATATATATATATATATATATATATATATATATATATATATATATATATATATATATATATATATATATTCCCAAACGCAATACAAAAAAAAAAACAGTTGCTTACATATACAAATAATAGTAAGTACACATATATAATGAATAATAAGTTATATATAGTTCAAAAGTTAACATAAATAATTTACGTACAATTACAATGCATGCCATTTACATGTTGAAGGTGATGAAAGACGCCAACATGTCACGAACTTCATTAAGCTCCTTGATTGTCAACGGACCATCCTTTTGGACCTTGCAAAACTTGAAATACAAAAACATTATTTTAAAAATAATTAATTAGGCAAAAAATATGTATTTTATCAAATATTACCTATACGACTTCTATATAGCCCATTTACTACATTACTTATCAAATGAACTATTTCTTTCTCATAACATGTCAATATTGGATATTTGTATGTGTGTAAGCCCTAAAATTGTATAGGAGAGCATTTTGTTAAGGTTTATGACGGTTTTTACCCAAAATGGCCCGAATATGGCCTATATGACCTTACTTTGCCCATTTCCTACATTTCTTATTAAATGAACTTTATTTATCTCATAACATGTCAATATTATCTATTTATAGGTGTATAAGGAAAGAAATCACATCAAAAGAGCATATTAACACAAAATGGCTCTAATATGGCCCATATGACTTCTATTCAACCCATTTTCTACCTTTCTTGTGAAATAGCCTTTTTGTTTCTCATAACATGTCATTGTTGGATAATATTAGGTGTCTAAGGCTAGAAATCACATCAATATAGCATTTCAAGAAGTTTAACAACGCATTTTACTCAACATGGCCCAAATAGGGCTTATATGACTTCTATGTAGCCCATTTTCTACATTACTTATCAAATGAACTATTTCTTTCTCATAACATGTCAATGTTGGGTAGTTGTATGTGTGTAAGCCCTAAAATTGTATAGGAGAGCATTATATTAAGGTTTACGACGCTTTTTACTCAAAATGGCCCGAATACGGCCTATATGACCTTACTTTGCCCATTTCCTACATTTCTTATTAAATGAACTTTATTTATCTCATAAACATGTCAATATTATCTAGTTATATGTGTATAAGGAAAGAAATCACATCAAAAGAGCATATTAACACAAAATGGCCCTAACATGGCCCATATGACTTCTATTCAGCCCATTTTCTACCTTTCTTGTGAAATAGCTTTTTTGTTTCTCATAACATGCCATTGTTGGGTAATATTAAGTGTCTAAGGCGTGAAATCACATCAATATAGCATTTCAAGAAGTTTTAGGACTTACCTCATCAAGTTGTTGAGTGTCCGTACAATGAGTCACAATGTCAAGCATGAATCTCATCACATACAAAGCACAAT